CAGGCTGGATGTGGCTCTGGGCAGCCTGGTCTGATGGTTGGCGACCCTGCACATAGCAGGGGGGTTGGAACCAGATGATCATTGTGGTCCTTTTCAACCCAGGCCATTCTGTGAAATAGGCACCAGTGTTTCATTCCTTTTTGTGGAAAATGAGGGCTGTGCTGTGACAAACCGTACCCGTGGCCCCAAGTTGTCAATAAGCCATCTCTAAATTTAGTCAGCTGCTTTTAGCTGGCTTTTGTTCCATTCCCATAGCTTGGATTAGAGCAACTGCTGTATCAAGAGCTTTGTTAAAATATATATTTTTATATATATACATATATATATATACACACACACACACATGCACAGATACATACATGTATAGGTGAGTTTTTGTTTTGTTGGGGTTTTTTTTGGTTGAGTTCTGAGGTATTTTTGAAAGATCTTAATCACGGTTTATGACTACAGCCACATCTTGAGTGATTTCTCACGGTACATAAAAATGCACGCTGAATATTTGAAGCATGAACTACCTTAAAGCAGTGAGATTTGGCTCATTCTTTGTGAGTTCAAGTGAGAAATATTTTTTTCCTTACTCTGAAGGAAAAAAAAGAGGTGGTAAAGTAAAAAGGTTTTCCTTTTAGTCGCCTCTGTTGGGCTGTAGCTGTTTTTCTGTGGCTGTTCTATCAGGATGACTTCTGCAAATAACTTGTCTGATTTTGTTTTTGTTCCACATTCTTGTGTTACTTCAGCAATGATGGATTGGAATTGCAGCAATACTTAGACGCGGGTTAGCTGCAGCGAGACAAGATGACTTCGCTGCTTTTAAAAAGGGGCATGGATTCTTTTGGCTGGGGAAGGAAGAGCAGAGTTCTAGTCTGCAACCAAGCAGGAATTTACTCTTGAAATAAGCAACGAAGTTCCAAGATTAGAATAGATTGCTGCAGTTGATCTCATCCCTTGCATGAGTAATTCTGGGTGGTTATTTAGTAGACTGCACAGATTATAAACTCAGAGCTGAGCTTTGTTTCTCAAAAGGCTGGAGTGATAAAGAAGCTGCAATGGCTGCTTTACGGGATTGTCCTCACTCTGGGGAGATGGATATGTAAATAATCTGCCCTCCCCAGATCTCCATTCTATCCATGTAGTGTGCAGCTCCAGCGAATTGGCAGCTCCCTCCTCCAAAGCTTCATTCTGAGTATTTTTTAAATGGCAAATATCCAACATTAATAATCCACATAGCAGAGCTGGGAGGAGGCTGCTGTGGGGGCAGCGGGATCACGTTGAACTTCAAACAGTCTTTTTAATAGTCAGAACTGTGGTAAGTAGCAAACGAGTTTTACTACTGTCTTGTGCTTTGTTGGAAATGCAGCCTTCTGACCTGAGTGTTTAAATGCTGGGTGAATGCTCTCAGATATTTCTGTTTTGCTGAATCTCTTTGCTATACTGTTCCTGCTTAGCTGAAGTATAAGGGGAAAGCATGGTATTTAAAGTGTTTTTGACTGCTTTGTTCAACAGAGAAAAAAAATGGCAATGCGTTGAGGCTCTGTTGAGTTTCCATAAATATGTATTTTCAGTTTGTTTTGATCCTTTAGAGCAATTCAGTAGAATATTTTCTTGTGAAAAATAAGTTTTCATGCAAGTAAGTGCTTGATTTATTGTCTCTGAGGATTTCTCTGTGTAATTGCACATCAAAAGAAATGTTAACATGCAAAGAAATTTTTATCCAAGATCAACCACTGCTTTCTAAAAACCTGATACTGCTTCTGATGTTAAAAGCACAGTGATAATCCTACAGATGTATTCCTTCAGGCTTTCAGAAACATACCCAGTGCACATAAGAGAGCTCTGCCTTTCAGTTCTCAGTCTGTCGAATAGTATTGATTAGTTTGTGAGATGTGGGAGCCCTGGGGAGGGGTTTGTGAGAGATCAAACAGGAGTTTTACTGAGATACCATATGTTTTTCTTAGTACAATACTGGAGGAGGAGAAGCTGCAGCAAGAAGAACGAATGAGAATGGAATCCAGGCGACAAGTCACAGTGTCCTGGGACTCAGGAGGATCAGATGAAGCTCCTCCCAAGGTAGCTATCAGAACACAAAGCATGAATGTTTCTAAAAATAATGATAATACTCCTTTTAATTCCATTTATTTCTTCCAAGCCTCATCTGAGGGGTTGGTAAAGACGACGGCGTTCTGCCCAATTCCGTCATCATCAGTTAATGCTTGCCTGAAATGACCCAGCTCTCTTTAGACTGTTATTAGGGCTGATCTCTGCTATAATTTTGCACTGACAATTTTCTGATTCTTGTTTATTTAACTTGCAGGAGACTACCATAGTTGCCACAAAAATGTTTCCAGGCTTTTTCTTTCTTCTCTCTCTTCTAGCGCTCCTGTGAAATGTTAGCTGGTGAGATTTCAGACCCCTGTAAAGCTTTTTTTTTATAACAGATCAGAATAGAAATTAATTAATTGTATTTTCTTTCATTTTCCTTGCTCTGAACAAAAAATTACAGTTTTACTTCCAAGGAACTTAAGCGTTTTAGATAACTTTTATCTTTGTTCCATTGCACGTCTGTCCTGTTAGATGTCACTGAGGTGCTCTGCAGTCTAACCTCACCAATTGCCAAGCACTCACTTCTCTCAATAACTTGTGTGCTTTTTGTTCTTTGAAGGAGTCCATATTTCAGAGAATTTAATTTTGTGCCCTCACCATTGCGGTGTGGAGTACCATCCACATCCTGATCGGTGTGTGATGAGTTCCTGTAGCCCTCTGTGCAAGCTCTGGTACTCAGAGGGGTTGTAGTCAGAGTGTAGAATCCTGGAATCATTAAAACTGGAAAGAACACTGCTGTCAGCAGGTCCAACCACCAGCCCATCCCACCATGCCCACTAAACCACGTCCCTCAGTGCCACATCTACCCGTCTCTTGGAAAGTAATAGTGGGACAAGTTTTGCTGCACACATCCCCTGGCATTCATCAAGAGGAAACGTATTTTTTTTTTTTGTTTCCCTATCTCTGGCTTGTTGCTTGACAGATTTCCTAGTTTGGTTCTCCATTTTGATAACTTTATGGCAACCAGGAATTGCAGACCCTATAACTGTTTTTACTTCAGAGTTAAGAATGGCGAGCAGTCCATCACACTGATCAGGCTTCTGAGGTAAACTGCCAGGGTTTGATGCATATATAACCAGATAATGTACTGAGCTACAGAAAGAGATGAACTGCATGAATCAGAGCAATATCCTTCTTAATAACAATTAAAATTTATTATTATATTGGCATTAAGCTACTTAGTAATACTTAATTATTACAACATTGTTTAAGAATGTATTTAGTCTTGAGGCTTTAGGGCTAATTCAAATGAATACTTTTAACTGAAGTAGTAGATGAGCAGCACTGAATTAGAACTGATCATCGTCAGACCTTTAAGTGCGACGTCCAAACTACAACTTGAAAAATTTAAGTTAGGATTGAAATTAATTCTCCTACCACTGCATGGATTTTTTCAGTGTTTTAACTCTTTGAGATACTTTCACTGTATATTCAGTGAAATTGTTGCTTAGGTTTTTTATACAGTGTTTTTGTGTAACATCTGTGTGTACTAATGACACTGTTACAAGTTGAATTTTTTTACATAAGGTACCTCAAGCATCCTTTAAGTTACTATCTGATTTTTTTTAATAGAGACAATTGATTTTTCTTTCAGTAATTTGTTGTAACGGTTCTTCATGTGCTTTAACTCCCATTTATAGCCTTCAATTCCTCACATTCTCAGATAGCTCACAACTCTCAGTTTGTGCTATGAAATTACTTTTATCAGTAATTAGTGAGAAACCTCAGATGGAAAAGATCGCACTACAGAGTGATAACAGTTTTCATGTAGGGAATGATAAAATTCTGAAGTTCCAAAGTAATGTGATAGTAGCATTTAACTGAAAGAGAATGTTGAGGTTTGGGTTTTGTATTGGGTATGTTTGCCTCTTTGGTTAATTTTTTTCTTCCTTCTGAGATGCACAGCAGTACAATTCCTCATCAAAAAAGGCAAATGCACCTTTAGCACAGGTTGCCCAATGGATGCCCCATCCCTGGAGGCCTTCAAGGCCAGGCTGGATGTGGCTCTGGGCAGCCTGATCTGGTGGTTGGCAACCCTGCACATAGCAGGGGGGCTGAAACCAGATGGTCATTGTGGTCCTTTTCAACCCAGGCCATTCTGTGATTCTGTGATAGAGGTTAACATCAAGTATTAATAACTGAACACTTCTACTTTGAAGATAAAAATAAGTTGTTCTGAGCGTCATTTTCCATCACTGCTTCTTTCAGCAGTGTGAAATTGCTATGCTTACTCTGGCAAAAGGATGGCCAGCCTGTTCAATGTGTGCAGACAAAAAAGCTTCATTTTCATTGAGCTTTCCTAATTTCTTCTGATTTTTCTCATGTATTCCTGTGATTACACATCAGCTTTGTTTACGTGCAGAGTATTCTGCTTCTGCTGAAAGTGACAAGAATGATGCTTGGGGAAATAATCTGATAGCTTTTCTTTAGCTGTCCTTCCTAATAGGAGCAGTTTTTTGTGACTAGGTATGGGTTGCAGAACAGAGCATGTTCAGAATATGGCCAGAAGCACCTTCCATTTTAAGGCAGTGAATTATATGGGGGTTAATGATCAGAACTGACTTTGGTCCTCAGAATAATGCATGTAAATATTTGTGCTGAACAAAGATTTGTGTTCAGATTGAAGCACAGTGATTTGCTTTTGGGAACAGTTACAGAGCAACAAACGGCAGAACTTTACATAATGCAAATTATGAATTTAGAAACAATGCTATTTCAACCTGAAAACCTGATTTAAGATTTCCAGAGTGTTCTTTTTGGAGTTAAGAACAGCACGGAGAAGGCCCCATCATTCAAGCAATCAAATAAGCCCCAGAAATAGACAGAGTGAATGGTACTTACTGAAATATCCAACAAACAATTCAGCCTCTGTTGTTTCCAGATGAAAATGGAGGAAAATTTAATTTTATGTTGTTTTTGTTCTAAATGGTAAATAATTTAGAATGTTTATTTTAGGAATTTCTTTCTTTCTTTCTTTCTTTTAGCTTTTGTGTGTAATGTAAATGTTTCTTTCACCAGAGAATAATTTTGTGGATTTAGTTTCTGTTTATAAAGACTCTTCTAAAATTTCTTTGTATTTGCAGCCCAGCAGGCCTGGTTACCCCAGCCCAAGGTCCAGTGAAGGGTTTTATCCAAGTCCTCAGCATATGGTACAGCCAAATCACTACCAGGTATTGTATTTTAAACTCTGCATGCATTTATTCAAATGTGGTGTTTATGACTTAGTTGTAGCTTGTGGGATTGATTCACTTCTGCTGCTGTTTAGTTCCGTTGACTGCTGCTGTTTTTTTGTTCTACATCAGAACAAACCCTGAATTGAGCCTAGTAGGTTTCCTCCAGATGGTAAATATTTCCATATCTGATGTAGTGCTCAAATTCCTGAAACTGAAGTGAAGCACATTAGACTTTTTCATATTTGCTGAAGGAATGTGGTGCTCCTGTTAGCATTTATCAGATCGTAGAATGTCTGGGGTAAACACCTTATTTATAGATTATTATCAGAGAATAGGAACGTTAAGACTGGAAAAGGCTACGAAGATTATCCAGTCCAACCATCAACCCATCACCACCATGCCCACTAAACCATGTCCCTCAGTGCCATATCTACACATTTCTTAATGAATCATAGAATCATAGGATTTGTTCTGTTGAAATGGAGTGTCTTGGTCTGGGTTGGAATTTTTGCTGTTACGAAATCCCTTGCATTATAGAACAGGTTTGGATGGTGCACTTTCCTTGGATTTATTGATATTGTACTCCCTAATATTTCTCTGAAACAGCTTTATTTTCTGTTGGCTGAAAGCCTTCTTTAAGTACACTCTATTCAAAGAAGCAGCCATATACAACAGACTCAGATGACATTTTTTATTTTTTTTCATGGGGTTGGGGAGGTTTTAATTTTTTAATCAGAATATTTCAGACTTACTAAAGCTAGTTTGATTTTTCTGTGGATAATTTCTCAAGCTGTGTAGCTAAGCACAGTAATTACATGCACTCACTCAGAACTTTAGCTTGTAATATGGAGTGGGGGGTACATTATTTATGGCCTTGTCGGGTGATGTGTGCATAGCTTCTATTAACTTGGATATGAGCTGTGTGTATGTAGGTCTCCCAAAAGTATCAGTAGGGTTGGTTTTGTTTGTCAGAGTACTTCGATCTTCTTGACTACAGAGGTTGAAACATACTTTCTAATGTAGCTGTTAGGTTAGGCATCCTCAGATAGTATATGAATTAGAGAAAAGTTTTGTGTCACATCTTGGCTTGGCTTCCTTCTTCTTTTGTTGCTTCCTGTCCTCCCTCACAATGACTGCTTGAATTGAGTCACTCATATTTACTCCCTAGAAAAAAAAAGATTATTAAGTATGGGGGAGCATAAATCCTACTGCTGTAACTTTCTTTTTCTTCATCCCTAAAGGTATCTGGCTACTCTGGTTCTCATGGGATACCAGCCATGGCAGGCAGCATTTATCCTGGACAAGCTTCTCTCTTGGATCAAACAGATTCCTGGAACCATCGACCTCAGGAAGTATCAGTATGGCAGCCAAACATGGAGGTATGGTGAACTGATACAGCTGTTGTTGCACTCTGTATAGTAAATACACTTTTAAAAAATTCCTTAGGTATATCTGGAGAGTACTGTAGGAAAAACAAGTGTGTTTCAGTAGTGTTTTTTAAATTGCCTTCCTGCAGTGGGATGGGTGTCATGACTTAATTCAGTTCTTTAACCGGATCCTGCATGTAGCCACAAGGAACATGGAATTATTTCCCTCCTCTAATTTTTGCAGCATTTTTTTTTTGTTCTCCTCCAATATTTTCCATTTTTTAATTCCATTTTATCGTTCCACAAAGATTCTGTCTAACTGCATGTGCTCTATAAGCAGTGCTCTAGTCTTTGAGCCTCTGGTAAGCATTTACATGAGAACTGAGACTTATACCATAAATACAGGAGAGCAGATAGGTGTCCACATCTTCAGTTGCCTCAAGCTACTCTTGGTTGATTCGGTCATATATTCTGCCATTACTGCTTGCAGCCATGCAGTTTTTCATGCTCTGTATAGTTTCGTTGAGTGTTGTCATTCCAGGTAGTTCAGCATTCCTGTTTATTCTAGAGGGGCAATAGAAACAACTTAGTTTAATTATGTTGTGCTTGAATAAAGTATTGGCAGAAGCACGTGACTATTTTGCTCATGTTCAAATTGTTCAAATGTTTACAGATTGCCAGTGCTGTAAGGCTGCATAAACTCAATTGTTTTGTAGGATTCAGGCACTTTGGACGTACGAGGAATGGGGCAGGTTCTACCCACACATCTCATGGAGGAGAGATTAATACGACAACAACAAGAGATGGAAGAAGATCAACGCTGGCTTGAGAAGGAGGAACGATTCCTGGTAATGCTTTGTTTTGTGCTTACTGTTCGTTCATTCATTCATTCATTCTGATTTTTCTTCAAGTGTTCAGCTAGTGTGTCCTGTGCTACAGATACCACAGGAGCACAAAATAGCTGAAGTTGACAGGGACCTCTAGATCCATGTGGTCCAATTCCTGCTCAAGTAGGGACACCTACAGGGTGTTCAAGGCCACGTGCAGGTGACTTCTGAAGATCTCCAAGGAGCAGGCTCCACAACCTCTCTTTGCCAGTGCTCAGTTCACTACACAATGTGGGAGTGGTTCCTGATGTTTAGACAGAACCTCTTGGGTTCCATTTTGTCTGCATTGTCTCTTGTCTTGGCACTGGGCACCACTGAAAAGAACCAAACTCAAACAGCTGGTATTTTTCCTGTATAGGTTCATGCTGAGAAGCCTATGAGTCCATGAGCCTCACTGGATAGGTGCATGGCAGTGGTGTGGTATGGGTTGTGACATGCATCAGTCACACGTTTGGTTTCAAGTGTATTTCAAGGAATATTTTGATTTGAAAGCTTCTCTTGTTGTATGTAGTCAGAAGACATGCTTGTATCAATGCAAGTGTGGTAAGTTGTTATGAGAGTTAAGTTTGAGTAATTGCCCAGGTGACTTATTTTTATTTTGGATGTTTGCTATGGTTATGGTTGTCTCACTAAATTTAAAGCCATATTTTAGGGATGCTGAAGCCAGTACATTGAGTCCCTTGGAAGTAAGAATCTATGCTTTATTCTACAGGACGCCAATGGGAAGGAACAGAGAGCAGATCTTAAATGTAAACAGTGTTACTGAGATCTAATTCTTTGGCAATTGAGTTACCTTAGTCTCTTAGGGTGTTCATTAGATGTGCTCATCCAAACAGTTGATGAGCAACCGAGGGTAGGATAAATCTCTACTAGCAGATGAGAGCTGCTGGTAGATGCCTCCATGCCCATTGTGTGTTCTAGCTAAGATCTGTGACAGAGGTAATATGTCACTTTTGATTAAAAGGCAGTGAAGCTTGCTTTTGGCTTCTTTCTCTGTAAACACTCATCATTTGATGATGACAGAGAAACCACTGTACCCAGATTGCTTTGTCAAATGTGTTACAAGGGAGAGGAAAGGAAAAACTTCTTGCCTCATTGAGGCATTAGCTTTTCCAGTCCTGAATGGCACCAATTGTTTGTGGCTTTCACAAATGTGGATTAAAATTTACAAGATCATCAAGAATTTTTTGAGGGATTAATGTATTGCCCCAAGAGTGCTTCCTTAATAGGAACCTCTTGAAAATGAGACATGGTAACTTCAGGTGGTGGCAGTGGGTTGTGCAGGAGTTTTCACCTTTTCTGCAGAATAGGTGATAATTATTGGTAGCACTCGGTCCTGGGGCTGAAGCAAAGCAGAACACTATCAAGATGTTTAACATCCCCTGGATTGCTGCTTGTTGATTTTTCTTTTGCCCTGTAAGAGCCTACTGCTGAAGAGACACCATCACTACTACCACCTCCTATTTAAAGGTGCTCATGAGCTTGTGAGCTCTACAGCTCTGTAGCTTTTTCAGAGCTGTTTTTGGTTGTAAACCCAATGTAAATGTTAAATAGTTGGGAAGGGAAAAAGAGCAAGTTTGAAGGGGAGTAAGTGTAAAGCTAAGTGGCCAAAATGGAGAATCAGAATTCACTGAAAACTTAAATTCTTGGTCTTTCCACACTAACGTTTTCAGTATAGAGGTGTGGGGGTTATAATTTAAGGCATTACAGACTTGGACACTGTATCAAAATTTGAACAAGCTGTAGTGGTAGTCACAGGCTATATTTGAACCCGTAGCATGGTACATTGCCTGGGAAACTTTTGCTTAAACGTGGCTATTTCTTGAATAAGGAACATGGTTTTCTAGGTTTTATGCTGAAGAAATCAAGACAGTAGAAGAGTCGTTGTGAGGAAGCAGTCCTGTAGGCCTTGGCCTTCTCCTGAAGAACATCCAGAGATTATACATGAGATTTCAAATATGAGTGTCCAGTGTAGAAGTATTATATATGTTGTACATGTTCACATTGTTTACCCCATGGTCTCTAATAAAGAACTGACATTTCTTCTGTCCAGAGAGGGACTTCACTAAAACCTCTCAAAATGTGAAGGAAGAGAGACAACTTATTTTACCAGTGAGTGTTCTGTCTCTCATGCTTTGAGAGCATTCTCTGCAAGAAGACTAACCTTTAGGTTTTGATGACATTGTTTGGCTGGTGTGGCTCTCCTGTCCCTGCTTTAGGTTTCAGAAGAACATTTTTCCTCTTAGGCATAGAGAACAATAGAGAGAGAAGAGCCAGATTTAAATTTTTAGCTTATGTAACTCTACAGCCTAGTGTTCTTAGTTTAAAGCTGGCTGCTTTCAAAAGCAGCTTTATTTACACAGTCTTCAGACTCCTACAGTTTATCTTAAATCTCATTTCTACTATTGAGACTTGGACTCACAGAGCAGTGACTGCAAATCATTTAATGTGAGATGCTGTGTAATGAGAAGGAAAATCCTTACTGGGGTTTCTTTTGGCACAATTTTTGCTAGTGATTGTTCATGATTCAAAATTTATCGCTGTTTTTGCAAAGAATAACTACAGTTTACAGCATGTTAGGACAAAGATGAACAGCACTGATGCTGTGTTTGCTAGAAGAGACACCCAAGATGAAGAATGAAATGGCAGTGGCATTGAAATGGAAATGCAGTCTTCAGAGAGGATGATATCTGTGTGGTTTGTCTGAAAACAGTCCTTTGAGAACATGTAAATAGTATGTGAAAGGAGATGGAGATGTTTGCAAGCTGCAGCATTAAATAGAATCCACAATTCTGAAATTCTGCTATATAAAGGGAAAATAAACAGATCTCTTTTCATAGGAAGCTCATGAGTGAAATTAAATCTGTTGGGTAAAAACTGAAAAGAAGGTTTTAAATTGAAAATTGAACCAAATATATCTGCTGGGAAGTGAGAAGAGAGTAGGAGAGTTGGGGGATTTTTTTCAGGGGGGAATTATTTTGAAATTAACTCCCATCCTCTGATACAGAGGGGCCACTGACATGAGTCGGGTAGCTTCATGGGCAGTGGTTAAAGCTGCAGCCTTTCATGCCATCTTGGTAAAATTGCTTTGGATATCAGTGCCTCCTGGAAACAGGGTGGAAATCTCTGAATTATTTTTGATGTAGCTGAAGTGAAGACAAAGTGTCGCTGCACTTCCCACTTCATGCAGGTGATGGTAGAAGTTGCTGTCTCTCTGAGGTACACATGGGTGGAGACGTGGAACTACTGCAGTGCAGTCACATAAAATGATAGAGTCATAGAATGGCCTGGATTGGAAGGAACCTCAAGGGTCATCAAGTTCCAACTCCCTTGCACAGGCAGGATACCAGCCTGCAGATCTGGTACCAGACCAGGCTGCCCAGGCCCCATCCAGCCTGGCCTTGAACACCTCCAGGGACGGGGCATCCACAACCTCTCTGGGCAGCCTGTTCCAGCACCTCACCAGTCTCTCTGTGAAGAACTTCCCTCTGACATCTAATCTCAACCTTCCCCTCCTTGAGCTTAAAACCATTCCCCCTTGTCCTATCACTATGTACCTTTGTAAGCAGTTGATTCCCCTCCTGTTTGTAATCCCCTTTTAAATACTGGAAGGCTACAATGAGGTCACCCCGCAGCCTTCTCCTCTCCAGGCTGAACAAGCCCAGCTCCCTCAGCCTGTCTTTGTAAGGGAGGTGCTCCAGTCCCCTGATCATCTTAGTGGCCCTCCTCTGGACCCTCTCCAGTAAGACATCTTGTGTAAGGTATCTTGCTGCTACAATTCTCCAGGTGCTGCAATCCACAAGATTTTCATCATCTTTTATATCCTATGGTGTTTGGTTGATTACCTCATTCATAGAAGAAACACACAAAGCTCTCGTTCTGCACTTTCTCTTGAGTCATTTTGCAAACACAGTGGGTATTTCCACTCCAAAAAGTAAAACTGACAACAGTTTGATTGAAGCTTTACACTCATGTAGTGCAAAGCATGTAGAAGCCAAATGAGCAACCTCCATCCCCAAATGTAGTGCTCTACAATTGCAGATGGTCTCTTCATTGCTGGCCTTCACAGCTCACTGGAACTGAAATATTTGGCCTATTACTCCACAGTCTGGCAGGCATCCTGTAGTGCTTGTGCTTAATGTAAAGCATACGCTATGTGTGCACACAGCAAATCAGGACTGAAACATTGAATTACTCTGCTAGGGCATGGTGTGTATGTGGTAATCTGCCTGATTTCTCACATGTAGAAGTAATTTAAAAGCAAATCGATGCATTCATTGAGCTAAAATAATTTTTAAAAAGCCCTTTCAGAACGCTTTGATTTTTAAGCTTTGGCAGATATCTGGAACTACCAGAAGCTGATTTTTTTTATTTTTATTTGCCTCTAGGAGAGTATATCTTCTTTATTTTAATATGGAATTTGACCCAAGAGGAGAATCATCCCTAACCACAGCTAGGAAAGCAGAGGTGATGATGGTGCATAAGAGCCTGCGTTACTGATGGCTGTTAGTTTGCTTATCAGGGGTTGTGGGACAGAAACTGTCCAGGATGACCTCTTCAGTTCAGTTGATGATTTTGTTGCTGTAGCTTCTTGCACTGTAGCTGTCTCTGAAAGTTTTGCAGAGTGCTTTTCCTCTTTTAGGATGCCTTGATGAACTGCTTCTCCATTTGAATTCAGTTTCCAGCTCGAACCTTTCTGTTGTGGTTGTACTGATGGTATCTGGCATTGCTTCCTATTACATATAATAAAGATGTATGTGCTCATGCCTTTGGGTAACTCCTCAGCAGATAGAGCAGTGTTATGCTTGGGAATTTATAGCTCTTTCCTGGGATGTTCAGAAGAAATAACTTACATAGTTTCCTTATCGTGTTTGGTTTTGTTTTTTTCTGAAATTCCCACATAGCTGTGGTTTAGTTTTTGTCTTGTTTTGACACTGAGAACTGCAGCTCAAATATAATTGATGTGAACTGTTGCTAAAATAAGATTTTAATTTTTAGCCTGAGAAATTCCCACCGAGATATTACAGTTTGGCATGCCCTCAGAATGCCAAGACATACATGTTCTCTTACTAGTGAGTGACCAGAAATACTGGAAATCTAGACTGTGTTCCAGTTTGTGAATGTATGCATCCTGTCTGAAAAGTACCCTTGATGCTTCCAAAGATTTCAGATAGCAGAGTACTTATTAGGAAAAAACAAACAATTAAGAGTCCATTTACTTTTCCAGGGCTTTGATTTTCTGCAAGAATTTAATGAAGTACTGTTCTTCCCTGAAATGTGGCATTGAACTGAGGAAGCTCAGTACTAAGAATTCACCCACACATTGCAGTGTAGTGCCAGCATCAAGAGCTAACATTAAATTAATAACTCCTATCCTGACTGTGAAAGGTATATTATTCAATTAAAAATCTATCCACTTAGAAGAGGAAGAGTTGCTATTAAGTTGTAACCAGATGGTGCTTAAGATCCCTTCCCACCCAGGCCATTCTGTGATGTTTAAAAATGCAATGAATGTTTGATCTGAGATACCTCCTTTAGTGTAAAATAGTTTAGCAGATGAATAAATTGGAATATCGTTCACTAATTAATGTTGGAAATACATTTGGGCCTCTTGTTAGTCATTGGTCACAGACGTGTGTTGAGTATTTCTCTTCTTCCTTGTGTTGGGGTTTTGATGGACAGAGGGAGAGAAGCGTTTGGAGAAGTTGGGAGTGGTGGCACTAAAGATTCTGTCTTTACTCCTACAGTGTGGATGTGCAGATCACTGGGATGCAGGTGGGTTGTGGAGCTGTACAAACTGCTCCTGCATCCAAGGGCTCTGGGTTTCTTCATTTTCAAATCACATTTTTGGAAATACCTGGACAACATCAGTGCTCTCCATGGCTTCGTTTGTATAAGGGCAGTCCAATAAAGTTTTGTTGGGCTAATCTGGTTTAGGGTGTATTTTTGGAGGAGTTAATTGCTCAAAGTGCAAGCATCATGAGTGACCCCTAGGGTGAATTAATCTTCAGCAATTTCCAAAGACTTTGGGCAATTCCTGGCTAGAAATTGAAGTGAAATAAAGACAAATTGTGAATATCAGTGTAATAGAAATTAAGTAAGAACAGCTATTTACTTCAACTAAAACCTGCTCTGAGTGTCACAAACTCACTTGATATCTGTGGAATTGTCTGACGTACTCATGTCAAATGAGACTAAAGTAAGAAAAAAAATTATCATCATAATGAGGAAAATAAACTAGACATTTGTCCAGGTAGGTTTCACTATAGAATTTGTCACAAATTCTCAGAGAAGCATTGAGCAAATTGCTTGCTTTTGTCTGCATCAGTTCTTCCTGCTTAAGGAGGGGTTAAATGTTTCCTTGTCTGCTTTGGTTTGTCTATTTTTAATCTGCAAGTTCTTTCAGGCAGTGAGTCTGACTGTGCCTTGCTCTGTCTGCAGAAGTCTGAATGAAAATGCACAGAATAAGCCCTTCATACAGACTGCTAGAGCTATCTGAGTGTTTTTAAAGGCATCAGTGTTAGTGTTATTGATCTGCCTACCCTGCTGTTTCTTTAGGATCACTTGGCAGGGTATGTGAATTGGAATTATTCTGTAGTGTTTTTAGAAAGAAGGAAGGAAGGAAGGGGATCTTGAGTTGCTTTCAACAAGAAACAAATATATTTGTCCCCCAAAACTGACCCTGAAAGCACGTATTTGTGGAGTGAGCTTAGTTACTGTCGGTATTTGTCTGCATTTCTCTTAACATCTTGTTCTGTGTGTGTGCATACGTTTTATGCATATATACACTCACATACATGTCAGAAGCTGTATTTACACTGATGTAAAAGAGTCTGTTGCCTCAATCACAGAATCATTCAGGTTGGAAGAGACCACTAGGATCATCCATCAGCCTACCCCCCCCAAGGCCTCTAACCATGGCCCTCAGTGCCACATCTCCATGTTTCTTCAACTTCTTGAGCGATGGTGACTCCACACCTCTCTGCCCAGCCTGTGCCAATGCACTGCCAGTCTTCTGCAAAGAAATTTTTCTTAATATTCAACCTGAAGAACATGGACTCCTTGTGCAGTTCCATAGGACAGTACATTAAGTTTGCTTTTCTGTGCTAGAAAAGCACCCTCATTTTGTTCGGCTTGTGTCTTCAGGTCAGCACAAAGCTTTATTTCGCATCAGCTCTTCCTTTTTCTTCCTACATAAGAATTACTGTCCTTCAAGAATAAATACAATACACCTGGTATTGGTGGGAGGAGAGAGGAATGGTCGGTTTCTCCAAGAAGAAGTTGGGGTGGTCTTAGTGTTCCATTTTAAAACAGTCAAGCCCCAAGTTTCTCTCTGTGACTTAAAGCAGACAGAACACAAACTCATTTATTTGTCACTTTTATCAGGATAGTTGTGCATCTGGGCATCTACGTTAGCTTTTTCTATCCATGCAGTGTGTACAGAGCTCTGTCACTGGGCCCCGTTTGCAGCCTTCCAGAGGGAGCCAAGTACACAGAAGCCTTCCGAGCAGGAAGTGGGAATTAACTCACAGCATTTCTCATCCTGTGGTTGAAATTTTGCTGCTGGAAGGAGAACAGTTGTTTAAAAAAACAACTTTTGTTACCTTTGAGAAAATAGAAAATGCCAGTTTTCCAGTGTTGTGTTAGGGAAATGGTACTGGCAATATTTATAAATAGCATTTTTCACTCGTGTGCTGAGAATGGATGGCCAAGCAGTGTGGGAGTCTGCTGGGAGTTTTGGGGAGCTGTTGTTTCTAAAACACACCGAATGCAGTGACATTTGTGCTTGGCAGCGTTCATCTTTCAATGGCCTTGTCTTTGAGAGGTTTTGTACCTAGGTTGTGTGAATATGTAAGCAGAGAACGGGGTGAAATTGTGCCAATAAAAGCTGTGGGTGCTCCATCCCTGGAGGTGTTGAAGGCCAGGTTGGACGGGGTGCTGGGCAGCCTGAGCTGGTGGGTGGCAACTAGCTTACAGCAGGGGCTTGGAGCTCAGTGATCCCTAAGATCCCCTCCAACCTAAGCCATTCTGTGATCCTGTGATTTGTGTTTCAGAAACCTGATGTGCGGCTCTCCAGAGGCAGCATCGAGCGGGAGGACGGAGGTCTCCAGGGCCCAGTGAGTATCTGTTGGATCCTTTCATCTCCTGGCCCCTTCTCCAGCATCATGGTAGAACGTGCTGTCTTTTATTACAGGAGATGATTTAAAGTTTTTGCTAAATGTTTCCACTGTCATTACACGGCTCTGCAACTTTCCAAGGAGCTCAGCTTCTGTGGGAACAGCAGAACAGTGACAGACTTTGGTCATGCAGCACTTGGATGGATTTGGAGTTTGTTTTTTTTTTTTTTCTTTCCCCCTTGAAACAATACTGCAGTGTTTCTGCAAATATGTTGCAATTATTTTTGAATGTGCCTGTGATGTATGGTTGGGCCTTTTATTTAAAAATGCTTTTTGAAACTTCTGTCAACAGGAAGTGGGGTTAAAATAACTTCTGCAGTTGTTTAAATATCTGAAGGGTTCTCTTACAAGGAATGTAAATGTTACTGCTGTGTTACTCAGAACTCTGTTTAGGGTAAATGATCCGCCATGAAACAAATGGAATAACCCCCACAGCCATTCCTTTGTTGTCAGGCAACAGCTGCAGCACTCATTCTTACTGCCATAACTGCTGCCTGTTTGAATAAAAACATCTCTCCAATTGTTTAATTGCCATTGGAAACTCTGAATCATAGAAAAGGGGGTCAGGCTGGGGACCGTTAAGGGCAGACAATCAATGCTTCATCCAGTGACAATCTCCAGGGATCACCTTCAAGGCTTCTCTTGGAAGTTGATGTCTTAAATTCACTTTCCTTGTTTATCTGGGCTGTAGTTCTGTTTGACTTCACTATTTCTTCACTACAGGAGAGTTTAGGGACTCTTCTTGCATTTGCAAAGTAGAGTCATGAATCACACTCTGCAATACAGTCTCTGGGAGTTGGTTACTCATGTTTGGAAGCTGCTAAGATTTTTTCCACGAACCTGGAGCAGACTGTCAGTTACCATTAGGTCTTTACTGCCATTGCATCTTACTGTAAGAATGAGTAAAGTATTAGTGCATTTTGTGCTATTCAGGGGAGTGCTGCAAGAGTATCTTGAGGTCATGTCAGAGGTTTGATGTAGGAGGCAGCGAGTTCCAAATTTTCTTTGCCTGGGTTTAGAGTAAAAACATGCATCCCAAACTGCTTCTAGGGGATGTCTTGTATTCCCAGATGAGGTAGGACTCACTCCACTTGAACAAGAAGACTGTTGACAGAATGAGTTGCAGGAGAGACTCTTAAATTAGTTACAGAATTTGTGTTTGCATTTTTTTAATTCTTAATGCATTTGAAATGTAACTGTTGAGTTCATTTGCAGTTGGAAATGCCATTGCTTAGACTATCCTGAGTTGGAAGGGATTTACAAGGATCAAGTCCAACTCATGACTCCACATGGGGCAGCCCTAAGAGGTAAACCTGTGAGTCAATCTCAGTTCTGCATTGAGAGATGAGAAATAAGGAGCAGTTTATAACTTTGCTCACATTCTTTCAACATTCTTTCATTCTGGAAGTAAACATCATGATTTTATTCCAGTGGAACTAAGCCTCCTTCCTCTTGCCCCATCTCTTCTCCCCAGAGCTCTCAGGTTTGGAATAGCTAGGTTAGCAACACGAGCAAGCTTAATGGTGGTAGGGCAGTGTGTGAGATGGTGGCCAGAGAGACGTGAGAACAGCAGAAGAGTGTCAGGACTTGGAGCTTTGATTATCGTGCTACCAAACCTGTAAGAATTCCTTAGTGCCTTTCTCCAGAACTCTCCCTGTGCAATACGTTCTTCTGTGAGCCCACATGATGGAAGTTTTGCCTCTTGCTACAGTTTTCTATATAGATAGAACTGAGCTTGACATGGAGTTAGAATTGGGACTTGAAGTTCACACAGTTAAAAATTGATAAAGTTTTGAGCAGCTGAAAACAGCTTCATAAAGTGCTAGGTAAACCTAACCACACCAGCCTTGTCAAATCTTCTGTAGTTTTAAAATAAGAACATTAATTTCTAAAAATGTCCAGCTGAGACTTTGAATAAATGCTGAACTACAATTGTGAATATCCTTTGGGTTTGTTACTGAAGAGGTGAGCCAGGGATAGAGAATGTCCTACTGATGGTCCAGTTTGAGTAACTGAAAATAGAATAAGGTTCAAAAAGACGTGCTTAGAAGGTCAGAAAGTAAAGTTAATTAGTTAACACTCTCAGACAGTGATTGTGATAGCATTCTCCAGAGCTGAAGTCAAGCTGAAACAGATGCTTTGTTTTCATACCAGTTAACAGTGAACTCTTAAGTTTTTGGAAAATCATCTTTAATGTGTTGAAGAAGCAGCTTCCTAAGGTCCTGGTGGAAGGAAGTACTCTGACTTTGCAGAAAATTGTCTTTATTTAAAAATTGCCTTTTTGAGAATGTCTTGCCATGAGGCATATGAAATTCTAACTGCCTTCAGTGCTCTGTAATGGAAATCCATTATACAGATACGCATGCATGATGAAATGTGACTGTTTTGCTTGTAACTTTATTTTTGTGATATGACAAATTTTGTATAAGGTATTCATTTGGCTGTGACTAGATTTTCATTTTTCTTGGCATGAAGGTGGTGTAAATGTAATTACTGAAGAAAGTCATTTGAATCTAGCATTAAGTATTTCCAAATGAATAAGCAAATTGACCTTGACTAAGAGCTTCAGAGCTCAGAAGCTTGTTACCATTATTGACACTATTCAGCCGTGCAGCAATACCTTAGGCTTCTAATTGCTGCTCTCCAATTCCTTCATCAGCACTGTGACTTCTGCAGTTTGATCTCTGAATAAAGAAGAAAAACTGCTATGAATGTGCCAGCGTGTTTGAGTAACAATGAAGGATAAAGCGTTATGTGCAGGCTTAGGCTGTCATGAGCAATACAAAAGAAGTGAAAATATTTTCCTTACTGTATAATTGTATATAACTGCAGTTAGGATTCATAGGTAGCGATTGTGAATAGGGAGGTATTTTTAACTGTTGGGAAATGTGCTGGGAACTGCCTGCTTTCAGTGGGGAAGAATTTGCTAGCAAAATTGTGAGCACTGTAGTAAATGCTATAAATACATATTTTATCTTACAGGCTGGTAACCAGCACATATATCAGCCTGTGGGTAAACCAGGTAAGCACAAAGTTCATATAATGTTATCTTGAATCCTTGGTTACACGTCTTTGAGCACTAACAGTGAGCAAATGCCAGGATTTCCATACAAGGCGGTGGTTTCGGTTATGGATACCTGCACAGAGGTGTTCTGGTGCTGAAATTCCCCATGCAGTCCCCAGAAATTAGTCAGCAAATCCAAGGAAGTGTTTCAACAGTCGGGAACTGTCTAGACGAGGCTGAATCACCTTGTAGGACTCCACCATGCATGGAGTTCTGACATGCAAAACACAGATTGAGACTGAAACCTCAGGTGTCTAAGTGAGTCACAGCTGGGATTTCAGCCAGGAAACATCGTAGGATATCCCAAGTTGGAAGGGACCGATAAAGATCATCAAATCCAGCTCCTGGCATCACACAGGACCACCCAAAAATCAGATCTTGTGTCTGAGAGCACTGTCCAAACACTCCTTGAACTCCGGCAGCATGTGGGGCACTCATTGTGGTGCAGAGTGGTAAGAAGCTCCTCTAGGTCTAGGCTGGGTGTACTGAGTTAGTAGGACTGAGCAGGAATCTCACTAGGAGATTTTCAAAGTACCTTGCTAAAACTCATTGATGGATAAGTTCCACATAACACCTTTTTGTCTCTGCTTTTCCTGAGTAGAAACAATTAAAGCATAGCTCGTGCGAACAATGGATCTTCTGTGCGACACATCTCCTCTACCGTTACAGTAAAGCAGGCATAGCCTTTGTAATGTTGACAGACGGCAGTGATTTGTTACATGTGATATGTTGGTGCTCTAACATGCCACTTGTTTTGTTAACCAGATCATGCAGCTCCACCAAAGAAGCCCCCTCGCCCTGGAGCCCCCCACTTGGGCAGCCTCGCGAGCCTGAACAGCCCTGTGGACAGCTACAATGAAGGCGTGAAGGTATGGTGCTCAGTGACACAAAACACATTTCAGGAAACAAAACATTACCCTGTAGAAATAGTTCAGCTCAAGTAGAGAACACAGAAAGCAGAAGTGACTGAACTTCCCAAGTAAACGTTGTGGTACAAACATGCGGTGGGAATTGGGAAATTAACTGCGCTGCCCGTGTCCTCTGTGAGTGATTCAGCATGTTCCTCACCCAGAACTTTCTCAAGCAAGTTTATTGTAGTTTGAGAAGCATATGATATCTCTCACATAGTTCTGCTCAGAGGAAGGAGCACAGAATACACTCAGGATCCCCATGCTCAGAATGCTGCTGTTGCAGCACCTGGACTTCTAAATCCCTACTGGCTGTAGGGAGCAAGGACAGAAGAAAAACACTTTCTGACCCCTAACTGAGATGCTTTCTGATTTGTTGTCTCGTCTCCAGTAAATAGGCATAAATCCAGAAGTGAAACTTCAGGGAGTTCTCTAGCAGAGAGGCTGCAGGGTGCTATGAAGCTGTCTGCTGTTACTGCTGGTGTCAGTGGAACTCATCCTTAGTGTGCCAGTCACTTTTAAAGTGATGCACCCAGGTTTTGTTCTCTGCCTTTGGGATTCCTTTACTGTTCTAATCCTAAGGAGATAGAAATATGAGTGACTTCAGGGCCTCCTGAGTGGAACCACAGAAGCTGTTTCCGTCATAAGCTGTTTTTAGCAGGTAGATATAATAGTGACTGGGGCTTCTCTGCCAGTAATACTCTAACAGAAGTGCAGCTGATACATAACATAGCAGTTCTGTTGCCTGTAGCAAAAAACTGGATTCCACATTGTGGTGGGAGGAGATACAGTGGTAGGTGACACTTAGTTTAGGTGATTTAAGAAAATACAGACAGTGTCCAGGTCATCTGGCCATGAAGTTCACAACTTGCCATCACAGTAGTGTGTTCAGCACAAATCAGTCCTTCAGCCACTGCCTGTCTCACTCGTGCTCTCTTTTTTTGGAGATCATCTGAGTATTTAAGAATCAGCACTGGCAAGTTCAAGCAGGATTATTTATTGCAAACCAGTGCCAGTGCATTTCAAGCTGCCAAGCCTCAGATAATATGAAAAAGCAGCAACAGATGTGTTACTGAACGTGGCTACTCTAAAATTTCCTTTCTAACTACTGGTATTAGAACATAAAGATGTTTTCTGAAATACATCCTTTTGATGACAAACAAACCCGAGCAACCAAAGTCATCAGTGTGAGTAAGATTTATGTATTAAATAACTTCTTGGAAAGTGGAAAAGAAGTTAAGATTTTGTCCTGCTTTCTGTCAAGCATTTCCTGAAATTGGATGGTCTTACATCCTGTCAAGAAGACAGCTCATTAATTCTTAATAGGGTGTAGTTTTGTTAGTGTCTGCAGACTTTAATTGAAGATGCTTCTGAGGTTCATTTCAGACTCCATTCTCTCTGTTCTGTTCTGAGAGAAAAATGAAAATCAGAGGATTTGACCTTCCTACCCTCAGAGAGCTGTAGGGCACCAAGAAGAAGGTAGTGCAGTGTTACCTGCTGACATCAAGGCAGCCAGCCCACACAAGGAAAACCCTGAAAGCTTGCAGTAATGTTGATGTTAGCTATAAGAACAGGAGGACGTTGATTATTAAGAATTGCAGATGTCCATACTTTGGGGTCTGGCCATAGCAATTCATTAGGTTGAATAGAATGCATCTAGGCTGGGTTCTTGGTAGCTCTTAACCATGAGTGTGGCTGGTCATCAACTGCAAGAGCTGCACAGCTACATGACTGCATATTTCCTATTGTGACAGATCCCTAATGTTGTGAAGGAAGCAGGGTTTCACAGGACACCTTTCCCACTGTTGCAGAGGCCCTTTGCTCCACTCACCCCTTTGCTCCTTGCCAGACTGGCTTGCTCCTGTCGAGCTTTGCATGATCTCTTCCCCATGTGTTCAGTAAAACGTTAGCATGGGTGCATGGCAAACACTTCCACTTCTACGCGGGTGCACAGCAGTTGTCAGCACATGGTGCTTCTGTTACAGATGGACCATGAGCTAACCCCAATGACTGCGGATAGCGTTGAGGATGCATTTTTGTTGCAGGCTTTTTAACTGGTCTCTTATTGCTACACATGTTTTGGTTTGTTGTTTTGTGGTTGTTTTTTTTTTTTCCTGCTGAGTTTTATTAATATTGTTTTTCTTTTTTCCCTTCTTTTGGTAAATTTCTTTAACCTTCCCCCACATTCTGCTCAACAATAGCCATGGAGGGTAAGCAGTGCGTGAGCGTGTTTACGTGCCCTTTTCCAAAATGTCTTTGCATGCGACTTTGCGAGATGACTCTCCTAACTTCTTGATTGCTGAAACCAATTAGAATCACGGCCCTTCCCTGCTGATTGCAGCAATTGCAATGTTCCTTCTCCTAAGGTATTTTCCAATCAATGTGACAGATTGAATCTCTGTAACAGTTGTCAGTAACCAATCAGTGAAATGCAAAAAATGGGAAACTATGCACCAAATCCTGCACTCTTTCCTTAGACAGAGTTTCATCCAAGTACTTTATGGTTTCATCTGTGTAGAGTTTCAGCTGCTTCCAGTGAAGCATCTCTGTAGCAGGGACCAATTATGGGAACCAGTGGTTATTGCATCTGTGGGGCTGCTATGCTGTGAGCCCAGCCCAGATCTGTAGGGCCACTGTGTGACCAATAAGAAGGAAATGGGCAATTTCTTAATCCTTCTCTCCAAGTGATTGCTTGGGCATGGCATGCAGTGGTAGTGGAGAAAGCAACTTTCTGGAGCAAGGGACCCAGTTGTCTTGCAATGGAATTTGTCCATCAGTAGTGAACCACTTCGATACGACAAGTATTCCATACTCCTTTCTCAACTTTTCTTTGTTGTGGGAGTTGCACTGGGAGCTCTTCAGAGAATTTTTGGTAGACTCTTCAGAGTCATTCAGAGATCAGGCTGTCAGAAAGCCTGAAGGAAACTTCCTTCAGACCCACGAGCAAATGTGCTCAGCGGGTTTGGGGTGGCTGTTCCTGGTGATCTCTGCAGGCTGGGAGGTTGCTGAGCCCCATCTGCTGGGCACAGGAGGCTCAACAATCTCTCTCTGCTTCCAGATCAAGCCGCAGGAAATCAGCCCTCCTCCTACGGCCAACCTGGACCGTTCCAATGACAAAGTCTATGAGAATGTAACCGGGCTGGTGAAAGCTGTCATAGAGATGTCCAGTAAAATACAGCCAGCTCCGCCAGAGGAGTACGTGCCCATGGTAAAGGTAAGGATGCCATTTTGAACATGGTTTCATTTTTCTCATGAATGACAAAGTTCTTGTTAACAGGGAGTTGTGCAACATTGCTGCATTTCATTTATAAAAGGAACTTTTATAATCCACCCTTTGCCTTTCTGTTCTGATGCTGTGAAACAAGGAATTGTGGGTGGGGTCCCTCACTACATGAAGGACATCAAGGCCCTGGATTGTGTCCAGAGAAAGGCAGCGAAGCTGTGAGGGATCGGGAGCACAAGTCTTATTGGGAGTGGCTGAGGGAACTGGGATTGTTTAGTCTGGAGAAGAGGAGATTTGGGGAAGATATTATTGCTCTCTACAATTGCCTGAAAGGAGACTGTGGTGAGGTGAGGATCAGCGTCTTCTAGGTCACGGGGATAGGACAAGAAGTAACAGAGTTAAGTTGCACCAGGAGAGGATTGTGTTGAGTATTAGGAAAAATGCCTTCTCAGAAAGAGTGGTAATGCATTGGAACAGACTGCCCAGGGAGGTGGTGGAGTCAGCATCCCTAGAGGTGTTCAAGAAACGTGGAGATGTGGCACTGAGGGACACAGTGAACATGGTGGTGATGGGTCGGTGTTTGGACTAGATGATCTTAGTAGTCTTTTCCAACCTTCATGATTGCGTGATTCAAAGTCACTCAGCAACACTTCTTTAACTCCACTCATTCCAAGTTTTTATTAGTTCATAATGCTTATATGGTCTGATGTATGTTGGCAGCATATGTGAGAGGGGCATCTGAATCAAATCTGAGATGTCCTGTTGGGTTGTCCTGTGTCTGTTATTTCCTTACTTACTCATTTTTCTCCTTAGGAGGTTGGCTTGGCGCTGAGAACCTTGCTAGCAACAGTGGACGAGTCGCTGCCAGTGCTTCCTGCAAGCACCCACAGAGAGGTAGGCAGAGCCCCACTCACCCTCAGGTGGCCCTGTAGCTAACAAGGCAGCTCTTGGTGTCTGAGTACAAAGTGTCACCAGCCCCACGTGCTGACTTCAGCTTGAAGGGAAACTCTCAGGCTGTTCAGATTTCATGGAGGTGACTTTCTTCCTTGGGGAGGGCAGACAGTGCTGCTACCAACCTGTGTGGCTGACCCACTCTTGTTGTTCCAGATTGAGATGGCCCAGAAACTGCTCAACTCTGACCTGGCTGAGCTCATTAACAAGATGAAGCTGGCCCAGCAGTATGTCATGACCAGCCTGCAGCAGGAGTACAAGAAGCAAATGCTGACAGCCGCTCACGCTCTGGCTGTGGATGCCAAGAACTTGCTGGATGTCATCGATCAAGCCAGACTGAAAATGATCAGCCAGTCGAGGCCGCACTAAGCACCGAGGGAAGAGTTTCATCTGTCTGTTGTAGAATTCTGCTTGCGAAAGGATTAGTTCACCTTCCACCAGCAGTGAGGATTAACCCAGTGTGGTCCTGGCTTTCCAGCGCCTCTTGCTTCAGCAGCCCTGACTGACAGCTGTTGGTTCTCTCCCATTACAAAAGGTTAACCACGTTTTTTTTTCTCACAAAGCCAAGCTGGCCTGGGATTCAGAAAGCGGCATCATCACCGGATGAAGTTTGTACAGAAGTCCTTGGGAAACGATGGCTTTGGAGCAGCACGGTTCCATTGCATCGGCCGCGCTCAGCCCAGAGCTGCGGTGGAGTTTCGGAGCCGGAACTGTTGGAGCAGCAGAGCGGAGCGAGATATTGTGAAGAATTCTGGGAAACCTCAGGGCTGAGAATTCTTGCCCACAGTATATGAACTATCCAGACTGGAATTTTTTTTATTAGAACACTTACGTCGCAATATGCTAATCACAATTTACAGAGAAAGAAAATAAAAAGCTATATTTTCAAGACGTCAGTCATTTCGAGACAAACTAAAGCCCTCTTCATCTTCCTGCCTTTTACTTTTATGTGAATGTGTGACGCCTTTGGTTGGAACTAGCTGTAGGACACAACGGAAAACTCTCTTCTTTTTCACCAGAATAACGTGCCAGTTCTTTTGTAGCAATGTTGTTTTCCTTGGAAGCGAAAATGCTGCTTTGTACCAGAGCAACTCAGAGCTGCACTTAAGAGGAGTCCTGTAACCATTCATGTCCCCCATTTTTATATAATTTATAAAGACAGATTAAAGCCATGTTGAATATTTTAAACCCCCTGTAGTTAACTAACCCATCCTTTTGTCTGTCTTGCCTGGGAGGAGTTACAGTAGAGCAGTGTAATTAGATTTTCCTTGGTTTTCCAATTACGCCATCTGTTCTGTTAAAATAAAAACCACACTCCCTTTTTGCTGTTGAGGGATATAAATTATTCTCAGGAAGAATATAATGAACTGTACAGTTACTTTGACCTATTAAAAAGGTGTTACCAGTGAAATTCTGGCTGTATTTTTGTGTACACACACTCTGCAGAAGCCACGGTGAGTTCTGCTTTGTCTGTTACTGTCAAGAATTCACTTGAGGAGCAGCAGTGAGCATCCAGGAAGAAATCCAAGATAAGTCATCTTCAGAAAGCAATTTCCTCTTAATTATAGAGGCAGGCACTGTTACCATCTGCACTGGTCGCTGGATATCTGTGCTAATTCTTACTCCCCTGAAATTATTTTAAAGCAAGCATGCTTAGATGGCAGCAGCCACATGGTTTGCAGGGGTTATCGTGGAAGCTCTCAGCAGCAGTGGGGGTGCACAGACTGCTGCCACTGTGGTGCCTTCCAAAACACCCAATGGGCTTCAGCTCTGCACAGAGGCAGGGCAGTGCAGAGCATTCCTATCATTCCTCCAGACATGGACTAACCCCCCCTCCCTACTCCTTTCAGTATTATACTAGAATATTAAATGAAGATTATGCAGTAACTTATATGTACGTGAGTACAACTCTTACATTGGCTCAGGTGCTCTGTTCAGAAGTTAGTCATGTTTAAAGTATTACTATGCTATGTAACTTGCACCATTTTCCACACCCACCCTTCAAAGCAGCATGTTTTCAGCACTGTTCCTTGATTTTTTTCCTGGAAAAGCAAGGACTACACACCCCATGTGCCTCAATTTAGGGAGGGAAGATTTAGGTTGGATGTCAGGAGGAAGTTCTTCACAGAAAGAGCAGTGAGGTACTGGAACAGGCTGCCCAGACAGGTTGTGGATGCTCAATCCCTAGAGGTGTTTAAGGCCAGATTGGATGAGGTCCTGGGCAGCTTGGTCTAGCATTAAATGCAGAGGTTGGTGGCCCTGCACGTGGCAGGTTTGGAGCTTCATGATCCTTGAGGTCCCTTCCAACCCTGGCCCTTCTATGATTCTGTGTAATGTCCAGGGTTGGCTGCAGGTCAAAAGCCCAGAGCACTTTCCCTCTGCTTTTTAAATTACAGCTACTCCATCCCAGCCCAGCAAGGGCATTCAGTAAAAGATTTCTGCCTTTTCCCAAGCCCAGAGCTCAACTGCTGTCATCTGAAACATAGCCACTGCTTCTCCCACCAGGTTAAGCAACCACATTCTGTGAATTGCCTGATGGAAGCCACACTGCTGCAGAGCACGGACTGAGGCTGTTCCAGCTTCACCAAGATGCTGCAGCCTCCCTGCAGTATAACCTTGCAGCAGCACTTCTGCTAAACCCAACCACATCCCATTCTCACTGTGGTAACATTTTCACCTTTGTCCACACTCTGAATGACAGCAGGAGCTGTGTCACTCATACCTGTCAGTGCTGAGCATGGGGATAGCTGTAAAAGCCCAAGTGACCACACACTGACAGCCAGTTTTGTCACTGGAGGTAATGCAGCCATTCTTCAGAAGTGTTAATTTAAGAGACAAAAATACAGTTAAATGTTCTTTATTACAGGCAGTTACAAAACTATTTAGTCAAAAAGACCAAAGCCCATGTCATCATCAGATTCCTCTGATTCTTCTTTCTTTTCCTCTTCTTTCTTCTCCTCAGCTGGAAAAGAAAAAGGTGGTCAGAAAGTTTCCATTTCTGTCAGTTCATGAAGTCATGCTATCAAAGACTTCACATTCAAAGACTGTAACATCAAGGAGCAAAACCTGAGCAATCCTTCCAAATCCCATCTCACGGCCCAGTGAGAGCAGTGCTACTGAGAATTGGCACAGCACCTTCACAACTGTGAAACCTGACAAGTTCTACAGGCAGGCTCACTTTGTCAGCAGAGACATCCTCACACCTGAGACAGCAGTAGTGCTGTACACTGATTTAGAATGCAACCAATGCACAGAGGAAGAGAATCTGGGGCTGCCAGCTGGCTGACCACGAGCCAGCAACATGCCCAGGTAGCCAAGAAGACCAACGACATCCTTGGCTTGTCTCACAAACAGCAGAGCCAGCAGGAGGTGATCCTCCCTCTGTTCTCAGCTCCGGTGAGGCCGCACCGGGAGCGCAGCGCTCAGCGCACTTACCGGGCGCAGCACCACCGCCCGCCGGCGCGGCACCGCCCGCAGGAGCAGCCGCAGCCGGAGCTCCGCCACCGGCTCCTACGTTGCAGATGAGGCTTCCGATGTCGATGTTGGCCAAAGCCTGGGGAAGACGAGCAGCGGCGAGACCTCGTTAGCACGGGGCGCGTCGGCCCTCAGCACGAAGCAGCCACGACAGCCCTCTCCCCTCGCCGCCACGTACCTTAGCGAAGAGGCCCGGCCAGAACGGCTCCACGTTCACTCCCGCCGCCTTGATGAGGGCGTTGATCTTATCCTCCTGCCACACAGAGAGCGGCGCTGAGGACCGGCCCTGCCCCCCCCGCACCGCCGGCCATGCCGCGGCCCCGCCGCCATCTTGTGGCGGAGGCCCCCGGGCCGCACACTCACAGTGACGGTGACTTCGTCGTCGTGGAGGATGAGGGCGGAGTAGATGCACGCGAGCTCAGAGACGGAGGCCATGGTGGGGGCGCGGTGCCAGTCGCCGGGGAAGAACGGCCTTAGCTTCAGCTGAAGGACGCAGCACCTTGTGACGCCGGGGACGAAAGGGAGCACGCGCCCCTGGGGGACCTTTATGAGGGCGCCATCAGCCAATCGCGATCCGCGAACCGGGGTGCTGTCCAATCCGCGAGCAACGGGGGCGGGCCCGAAGGGAGAGCTCCGCCAATCGCAGCTCGGCGGGGAGTGATGGGAGATGACGGCAGCATTACCTCAGCGGCGCTGCCTGGGCGGCCGCGCGTGGTGCTGTAGGGTTTCACCTGTCTCAGCCTTTTCTGACTTTTTTTTTCTTTATATCCCTTCCTAGACAGAACCCACACTGATTATATCGACGTATGTGAAGGAAAGAATTGAGGAATGACTCCCCTAAGCAAAAGAAAGAATGGAGAGCTAGAGCTTGGTAATGCAGCAGGATCGCCTTCAGCCTTCATTAGAGCAGCCCACAAAGGAGCTGAATACCTCACAAGGGCTTTACTCCGTCTGAATGTACTACCAGCTACAGGATAGCAAAACAATGCGGGTGCATTGCTCAAAATAAAATATTAGGACCTAACATCTGAACAAACTTAGGCTTCGTTTGGTAAAGATGTTAATTAAAGGAGATGTGTCTTCAGCCTTGCTTCGCGGCTGTCAGGCTGTATCTGCGGAGTGACACTGATGAGACTTACCTCAGAATTAAGTTATGATGAAAGGAAACCACTATAGATGTGTATAAACACGTATATGTACATACCTACCATCCATTTAAAGAATTGGAGACTGCTGTGATTGCAGTATTAACACTAATAAATCATGCCAGTTTTAAAAGGTAAAACACAGCTTTACTGCTGAAAGTTAAGAAAACACCCCATGCTAATCAGTACTTCTCACTGCTGCTATCCCTGCAGATTAATTCTCACACTTTTTTGGTCATTGTCACAACATATGCAAAGCAGCCAGGGCTCACCACTTGATCCCAAGCTGGCTTTGTGTACACAGCCCTGCAGAGCTGATGCTGTGTGATCAGAGCACGACTGTGGTTTGTGGATAATCATCACAGTGGCCAAACTCAAGAGGTCCTCAGCAAGGAAGCCTGAACTTCACATTTTCTTTCTTTCCCTTCTCTTGCTTAACTACTTGCTATGTGTTGTTTGTAACCTTCCTGAGCTGATTCTTCATTTATAAAAACAGCCTTTTCCCAGCTTTCAAGCTGTATGTTTTCAATAATGAATAGCTGACTGTGAGTTATTGATGGTTTGAGGTCCCTGTTTCCCAGGTCTTTGCCATTATCCTGCTATAAAACACACTGCAGAAGCCCGGTATAAAGTTCCAGGTCACAGAGCCAGCTCTCACAGACATTACACAGGTCTGACAAACTAAGACTGGTGCCCCTGGCCTGTTCATAGCAAGACAACAGTGTTTTCACCGGGCATATGGTAAGAATTTTCTAAGTAGTTGTATTGCATGGTTGTGTTTGGTTCAAAGGAAGTTAACATTAAAATCAGTGTAGTGATTGTTCTGGGCTTCTAGAAAACTGCATTATGTCATTGCTCAGCACTGAGGAAGAATAAGTAAGACGTATGAAGTGGCAAAGTCCTCTACTTGTGACATGAAGGCAGAGTTTCCAAGCACAAAACAGCACTCAGCCAGGTACAGGACCTGCAGGTGTGGAAGTCACTTGCAAGATGGGGAAAAGATATGACGTTGACTGAAAAAAGCAAATAATAACAAAGCATGATTCCCTGAGCCTCCAGGTAGGTTTTGTATTGCATAGAATCACAGTCTTTCCACCTCTTAAGAGAGGGAAGGTGCTGGCAGATCATCAGGGTGCCTTGTATCTGTCTTAGCACTGTGTAAGTGCTGTTCATCAGGGCAGTTATCCCCTCCTGCATCTGTTTTCCAGCTGTGGTACTAGTTTCTTTCTTTGTATGGTATGCTTTTGCAGGGTTGTTTTGTTGCTGTTGTTTTGGTTGTATTTTATTTTATTTTATTTTGACAGCATGACTGTTCACCATAAAGTTGTGTTCTCCCAACTTGTTCACATTCAGTCTCAGGCACAGTACTTGATTCTCTTATCTTTTTTTCTGGAAACTACTTTTTCCTTAGCTTACTTTTTTTTTTCTTTTTTTTCCCCCTGTGTTTTCACTTCTTCATAACTGTGTTCAGACCCCCAAAATATGTTCATGCCTGAGCTGATGACTGCCCTAGGAAGTCCCACAGAAACCTGTGTGGACAAAACCCCTGAAACTCCACTGTGACTCGAAACAGTAATACTCAACTCGCACCATATCCCCAATAGGTGGTGCTGCACCTTTGTCATAGTTTTCAATTGTTGCTATGTTGTTCGCTCTGATCACTAGAAAAGTCAGTCCTTCCTGAGTGAACTGAAGTCAGGCCCTCAAAGACTTTGTAACCAGGTGAACAGGTCAGGTCATAGTCGTGGTCTTTCTCACTTTTGTTCTGATAGAATCATAGAATTGC